ACTACTACTACTACTACTACTACTACTACTACTACTACTACTACTACTATACTACTACTACTACTACTACTACTACTACTACTACTACTCCTACTACTACTACTACTACTACTACTACTACTAGTACTACTACTACTACTACTACTACTACTACTACAATTACTACTACTACTACTACTACTACTACTACTACTACTACTACTACTACTGCTACTACTACTACTACTACTACTACTACTACTACTACTACTACTACTGGTACTAGTACTAGTAGCAGTAGCAGTAGCAGTAGCAATAGCAGTAGCAGTAGCAGTAGCAGTAGCAGCAGTAGTAGTAGTAGTAGTAGTAGTACTGCAGCGCAGCTCGTAGCTCATAGCTCGTAGTTCGTAGTTCGTAGTTAGTAGTGTGCAGTACGTAGTTCTTAGTTCGTAGCTAGTAGCTAGTTGCTTGTAGCTAGTAGCTAGTAGCCAGTAGTTAGTAGTTAGTTGGTAGTTAGTAGCTAGTAGATAGGAGTTAGTAGTTACTAGTTAGTAACTAATCGCTAGTAGTTGGCGTACGAGCCACAGTTGGCCTCGTAGTTTTCTGGGAGTTTAGGGGGGCGGGGGGTTGAGAAAGGCCTCCATTTCCAGACTCTCGTGCATGCGGACGGTCCTGCAAATTCCTGCCGAACCTCGTTTCGAGCCGGCCTGCCTGGCGCAAGATTTTTTCTGCAGCTTGCCAGACCCAGAGTTTCTGCATCAGACAGCAAGTGCGCAGCAGGAACCCATTCCCCTGCCAGTTCGCATGCACCGAAGGCATTGACGTAGTCCACACCATTGGGCAGCATGCGCTGCCCTTCCGTCTCAATCATGAGCGAAAGAACTCTCCTCCACTTGCTAGAATTATTCGAATTGGTGCATGCGGCCACAAGGCTACTGTGGGTGACCATGCTAGGAACCAGCCCGGCAGCTGTCAAGTCCGTAAGAAGACCAAGAGTAGCTGGCCACGGTCCCTTACAGGTGCTTATCATGCTGTTGTAGGTGATCACGTCGGGTTCCAGCCGTGCGCGCATGGCCAGAAAAAGGCCCAGAGCAAGCACCCAGTAGCCACCCTCTTTGCATGCACTGATGACACTGTTGAAGCTGATCACATCTGGGACAAGGTGCAGTGCTCCCACAGAAGAAAGCAGCTTCAAGGCCATCTCAGGCACCCCCGCCTTTTCACAGGCACTGAGCGTGCTGTTCAAGCTGAACCCGTCCAGCTGCGTCTTCCGGGACACGTGCAGCAATATCCCCAATGCCACCGTCCACTGCGCAGCTCTTTCACAAGCTCCGATGACGCTGCTTAAAGTGATCGCATCCGGCTGAAGGCCCAGGAGCATCACAGTGTCAAGCAGGCCGACAGCTGCAGCCCAACTTCCACCAACGTGACAGACGCTGATGGCGCTGTTGCACGTGTAAACATGACATAACTGAAGATCTTGGGCAGTTTGCAGGAGCTTCAGAGCAGCTGCTTCCTGACCATGTGTCCGGCAAGCCCTGATGGCCAAGCCGAAACTCAACGCATCCGGCGACAACTTGCATCCACATAGTGCAGACACTAACTCTGCGGCAAGGCTCCATCGTCCCCCGACATCACATGCATCAATGACGTTGTTGAAGCTGATCGTATTTAGCTGATGCATCTGCAGAGCCATCGCCTCAAGCAAGCCTGCTGCTACAAGCCAGTCGGAAGGCGCAGAGCTTAAAGTCACTGCATCCGGTGACATTTTGCAAGCTTCCATCTTCTGAATCAAGCTCAATCCCAGCATCCATTGAGCATCTGACAGAGATTTCAAAGTGCTGTTGTAGCTTATGGCACTGGCCGAAAGCTCCATTGTGCGCAGCACGTGAAGGGCGTGTGGCCATGAACCTTTTGCTGCATCGAGAGCGGTCGTGTAGCTGATTGGCGACAGTCTCAATCTAGCCCATCGAGTGCATCGTAGTAGGTGGTGAGTTGCAAGGAGCCAGTCGCATGAGTCCGACATGACATTGTAGCTGATGATATCAGGGACATGTCGATTGACAGTTGCAGAGGCAAGCAGGCTCAAGGCCCTCACCCACTCTCCCGAACTTGCACAAGCGTAAATGGCGCTGTTGTAGCTCAGAAGATGCTGCTGCATCATACGCAAGTGAATGGCATTCAGCAATGCCCCTGCTGTTGCCCAGCCAGATCTGTTGCAAGCATTGATGGCAGTGGACAAGCTAAACACATCGGGAACAATGCGCCTGCAATCCATGACGGAGAGCAGCATTGCTGACATCAACCAACGCTTTCCTCTTCCGTAGCTGGCAATGGCACAGTTGTAGCTGATCACATCCAGTTGCAAGCGCGAGCAGCCCATTTCTGCCAGCAGAGCCGCCGCAACGAGCCAACAGCCTGCCTTCTCGCAGGTGCTGATCGTGGAGCTGTAGAGGATGCCCTAAGATGGGACTTAGATGCCGACATGTGCGGACCACGCATCCAAGATGCATACGAGCAGCTCTAACATGTCCCAACATCTCCTAACAGGGCAAACAAAAGCTGCCTCTCATCTGCTATCGGGCAGCATCTGCTCTTAGAAACAGTGCTTGAGTTGTTACCAGCAGGCTCAGAGCGAAGTCCCAGCTGGTCGCCTTGACAGCTTTCGTGAAGCTGATCACGTCCAGTCGCATTGAAGTGTCCATCTGTGCCAGGTGTGTCAGGCTCGACAAGCTCGACAAGCTCCCTGATTTGTTCTCCCGGGTCCATTCGCGAGTGGGCATGGCATGGCAGAACATGGCAGAACATGGCCCCTGTTGCAGCTGATGAAATGTCTGCGTCTCTGCGGCTTTCCACACAAACGGGCACAACCTGAGGCATGGAACCACTGGCGGCACTGGCGCCTGCGCCACAGTGAGTAGTCGACGCAAGGCTACCACGTGGTGACGCACCTGTGCTGGCTTGAACTTAGTTGTTCGCGTGCCGTTTGCACGCCTCCTCGGAAGACCTAGACAACTCACTCTCAATTCCCAGCCCCCCCGGCCCCTCAACATCCCTCAACGCCCTTATCGTCCTTGCCCCCTTGCCAAATACAGCACTCCTCCCTTGCTTCCTATCTCCGCCTTTCTTTCGTACTCTTCTGTTGGCGCATTCCCAGGCCTCCTCGTCATCCATGGCATTGGTCTTGGCTTTGGCAGCATTCAACCGCTGCGCCGTGCGAGCCTGGGAGCGGTTCATCTTTTATAACGACCGGAACTCGACCGTACCTGTCCTTGACATTAGGATTGACCTGAAACTCTTGCCATTGCGAGCGCCGGCGGCAAGACCCACCGACATACCAGGTGTACCAACAAAAGCTATGGATGGTCGGCCAAACTGATGTGCTTTAGAAACACAATCTCATCAGAGGGTACGGTCTTCTAGGGCTAGTAGTAAGAGTAATACGAGTAATAAGAGTAATCAGAGTAACAATAATAATAATGGAAACAATGGTAAGAATAAGAATAGAAATAATGGCAATGATAGTAATACTAGTAATAATAGTAATCATAGTAATACTAGAAAGAATAGTAATACTAGTAATAAAAGCTAGAGTAGAATAATAGGAATAATGGCAATAATATGAATATATATATATATATATTTTTTTTTTTTTTGGAGTCCGGGGGACTGTGGGAGTGCACTTTTTGTGTTTTTTTTATGTTTCATGAGGTTTGCCATGTTACACAACTCACTACTGTAGATAGAAACGCCCAACCCGAATAAATTCTATAAGTCTACTTATCAAATAGTGAATGTATAGAACCCAATAGACTGAGACTACCATGATTCCAAATCTTGTTATTACTTGGTGAATATAGATTCCAAGTCTTGCTTATTGAGGGTGAATTCGTTATGAAGGTGGCTATTATGATTTCAAGTCTTGCATATCGGGATGGTGAATATAGATATCAAGTCTTGCTTATTGGGGGATGAGTGTAAGTTCCAAGTCTTGTTTATCAGGAAGTGAATGAGTTATTAGGGGACAAGTTACTTTTTATTAGTCTTGCTGAATGGTATGGGGTCAATGCAGCTCTTCAGTATTGCTTTTTCGAGGGGGGTTGAATACGTGACTGGTGGACGAATACCTGGGTTGCATCAATATGGCTTTTGTAACACGTTGCATCGGAACACCGTGTTTTGTTCACAAAAAAAAACAGACTTTTACAGCAGAGTTCACACCTGCAACTCTATAAAACAACGGTTTATCTGAGATGCATATACAAGCTATGGGAATGACCAATGAATGATTCCTGTAACTCAAAAAGCATGTAAACTTACGAATGTCGGCAAAAATACATGTAGGTGAATCTGTGTCTATAGATGAAAGAGCAATAAAACTCACAAACACCATACATACAATAAAGAAGTTGACATTATTTAACGCCTCTAACTACACGAAACATTATTCTGGCAGCAATTTTACTGCATAAATATCTCACAAAACCTCTAGCCAAAAAATGAAGCTAAAGAAGCTAGGCTAGAATGGACTGGACTTTTTTATAACATATACATTTAACAAAGCAAATACAAGTTGTGCTCAAATTTGAAGTGATACTGAAAAATTCATTCTGAAAGCCTATTACTATAGTAGACTTTTGCACAGCACTTTAGATGCGGCAAATAATCAAGAGAGCACTCTACTGCACTATTAACAGTTTCCTAATAAATTATAGATCAGTCCATAAGACAAAGAGCCTTAAACTCAGATATTATATATATATATGTGTATAGTAATAATCATGCATCATTTTTGTCGATGGGAGTTTGTTATCCCATCTTATCATACAAATTTATATATCTTGAATAATGAGTTTAAAAAATGCTTAAAGCAAAATACTAAAAACTCCAACAAATAACGCGCTTGGAACTCTTACAGAAGCTCCTCTTAGTAAAGGGAACAAGATAAATCACAAGATATTTATGTATGGGCAAACTCTGCTCAAAAAATGGGCAAGTATAGAAGATCTATATTAGAAGAAACAGCTAGAACAATAGCTAGCTTAGAAATCAAATTATTAAACCAACCCTGCATGAAGGAAAGCAAATATCAAGCCATAACGGTAGGCACCCTATGATACAAAGATTTTTCAATCAAGTCGCCTTGATGTTTATACATACTGATTGTGGATTTTTCATAGTGCAGATGTTTATCACACCTGTCTCACTGAAACACACTAGTCAGCAAAAGCTTTCGCAAAATATGAGCACCGTGTGGTCTTGCTTATGGGGGGGGGGGGCAAATCCATCATCGGTAGGTTGTCCCAGTAGCTGTCCTTCATTTTTCCGGAAGCGGCGCGCGCGAGGTATTCTACTGGAGACTTCCGGAAGCCCCGCGCTGGAGAATCGAAAAACCAAAAGAAACAAAACAACAAAAAAAAAATCAAAAATCCAGGACTCCTGTAGATTGGGCCCTGGATGGAAGAGTCCAGAAAAACTTATAAACAACTCAGAAAACTAGAAAAAAAGCAAAAAACTCGAAAAAAAAAACAACGATTTTCCAGGACTCCTGCAGATTGGGCCCTTGATGGAAGAGTCCCTGGAAATTGGTTTTTTTGGTTTTTTTGGTGTTGTCGAGTTTTTTCGAGTTTTTGCATTTTTTCTAGTTTTCATCGAAAAAACCAAAAAAAAAAATTTCCAGGACTCCTGCAGATTGGGCCCTGGATGGGGCCCTGGATGGAAGAGTCCCTGGAAATTGGTTTTTTTGCTTTTTTTTGTTTTTTTTGGTTCTTTTGGTTCTTTTGGTTTTTTTGTTTTTTTTTTTTCGAGTTTTTGCATTCTTTTATAGTTTTCCGAGGTTTTTTTTTAAGTTTTTCTAGTTTTCTGCGTTTTTTCGTATGAAAAGCATGTATCGTGTAAGGAAAAATAGCCGGAAAGCGCACTCCCACGGTCCCCCGTTTTGTATATATATATATATATATATAATAGTAATGGCAATAATTAGCAATAATCGAAGTAATCGTAATAGTAGTATTGGTAATACTCGCAGGGTTAACTTACTCTCAGCCAACCTTGGGAGCAGTACCATTGACAAGCAGTGGCTACAACAACGAGCCACGGTCTTCTGGTGGGTGTAAGGCCCAGACTTGCTTCCACCTTGGGACATACCCTAAATTGGCCCTAGATACATCTGAACGCCCTAAGCAACAGCAGTGAAAGCAACGGCTGAGAAATGTTGCGGAGTCGAATGATGTCCGGGCGTCCAACATGCGCCCACGCTCAATGCCTGTGAGGCCGTCCATGCCGCCTTCCATCAGAGTCGGGACCTTCAAACGCTAGCAACGGTACTTGCTGTTTGGCAATGGCAATGACATGCAATGACATAATGAGCGGGAAACAACCCTCTGCCCTCCGCCCATCCTGCCTCTGTGTGCCAGGCTTTGTTGCCGATCGCGAGGTCCATGTAAGCCTGGGGCCAATGTATGCTCATCTTATTTCAACTGCTTGGGGACCACACAGATCCGGACAGCACGCAGCACATCGCTGAAGTCATGAGTCGGCTGTCGGAAGACGCTTCTTTTCGTTGTCCAGGTTGCACATCGCAAGCGATTCATGCGGCAGACCATCGCATGGTTTCGAGCTGGTGCAGCTGGTCATCGAGTACATCAGCATCACTGACCATGGACTGTGCAAGGCTTTGAAGCAATTGCCGGGTCAGTGCTTGTCGAAGCTTCTCAGCCGACTGCAGGCATGGATGGAGTCAGACGCAGACACAGACACACACCCTCTTAGGTCCCAGGATTCCTCTCAAGAAAGCAAAGGATTGGAGAAACCCCGCACGCCTCAGGCTGGGCGCTCGAGGGCGCCGTCTCGTCGGCCAGGCGCGCTCCGCTGAGCTCTGCTACGCGCCGTCGGCCCAGGGCCGCCCATGCCTAAAACTTTTTCCAAGAGTAAGGCCTAGGGACCACTACCGAGCTCGACTTGTAGGCGAACGTTCATTCAGAACCCAACTGCACCAATCATGCAACACAACAAGATGTCCGACTCTGCACCTCCATGTCCCCGTGGTGTGCATCGGCACTGCCGGCACACCCAAGCTCGGAGAGCTGCCGCTCGCGGTCCTGAAGACCAAGTGCAAAAAGTTGCAAAACGTTGCAAAGCCCCACACGAGAGTCAAGAAGGAGATGAGCTCCCCGAGTGCATCAACACGACCTTGGAACGCATCTCGATGAGGCGATCCCGCTGCCGCCGCAGATGGTCAGCGCGCTGCTGGCGCTCTTCCTGCAGAGAAGCAGCACATGGCAGAACCATCAGCGAGATCCTGCTCTCTGCAGCGGTTGAGATCAGACATATCAGACAGCGTCCTCTGACGGGACAGAAAAATCGCCCGCCGCACTTTTGGGCGACGAGGGAGGAGAGAGCATTCTGCTTCTGGCTTCCCGCAGCTGCTTTGGCAGCGGCTGCACCGCTTCAGAGGCGCGGCGCTTCCACATCTGCAGGTTGGTGCGAAAAGTCTGAACCGGAGGCAAGGATGGCAACGATGAGGAAATCGCAGCATCAGCAGCTCCCTCCTCAGCACCTTCGGCTGGAGGGGGTGGCGGTGGTGGGGGTGGCGAAGCATCTGTGGGGGCTCCCACTGCAACTCGAGGCTTCGGTGGCACTGTACAGAGTGGGGAAGACGTGAAGCCCGCGCGGCCTGGTAACCTTGGGATCGCAGCTGGAGCTGGGTCGCTGCTTGGTACGCTGGGTGTGCTTGGCGTGCTTGGCGTGCTTGGCGGCGCGACTGCTGCGCTGGGCGGTGGGCGCGCAAGAAGCGGAGCTGACGTGAAGCCCCAAGGCTTTCTGGGTAGCTTCATCGGCTCCGTCTGGACAAGCCGAGCACTTGGGCCACTGGGGCCCCTGGGGCCCGTAGCCTGCGGCTTGGGAGGCAGGTGACAGAGCGGAGCCGATGTAAACCCTGCACCCGGTGGTGGAGGAGGGACTGGAGGGACTGGAGGGGCCGTCTCTGCAATGTTGTGATCCTGACACTGGGCTGGAAAATTTGTTTGGGACTTTCCATGTTTGGGACTTTCTGCGTGTTTGGGTTTGGCTCTTGTCCCATATGCTAGTTCTCTATAGTTTAATCGGAAGCCTCTTTTTTGCTCTGCCTCTAAATACAACCTTGTCCCTCCTTTCTTTTTAGACCTTTTCCTTCCATTTCTAGAGGAAAACCTATACTTGATTTATATGTTAATCGGCAAAGCTCTGTTCTCTCCATGTTTCGAAGTTTTCTATATATTAATGCTCAAAGGAAAACCTGGATGTTTTCAACAGGGAAACATCGATTTTCTCTATACTTCAAAAGGAACACCTCTTATGTCTTTATTTTGTGATAGGCAAACTCATTGTTGACGGTACAATCCTTCCAAAGACGTCCTGCCAGCGTTATGTTGACTTGTTCTGTATTTCGTTTTGGCCAGCTGTCTGTTGTACATGTAGAGGGAAAAGAGATTTCCTTGTCATATGCACGGAGCGCACAAGAAAATGTAGAGAGAAAACAGAGGTTGTCCCATTCAAACTGAAGTCTCTTGTTCAAGTATAAAGACTATAGAGCTTTTCCTAGTAAAAATGAAGAAAGTGGAGGTGTTTTGCTATGATTATGTAGAGAAAACGAAGGCTTTCCGATTCAAATATGAAGAAAATGAAGGTTTTCCTATCAATATTGTAGAGAATTCGCGTCTGGGACAGGAGCCAAACCATAAAGACAAGATCCCAAAGCAAAAAACAAACAAGAATTCCAACAAAAAAGGAACCTCCTGACACATTGCACACTGTCAGCTGTGCATGGCAAGTCGAACAATCCACAGAAATGGGCCTCGTTGGCTGCAATTTGCCTCAACCTTTCCTCCTCGATGCTGAGAGAAAGCGCGATGGCCTGTGCAAAGAACTCGGTGTCATAACCCTAAACCCCTAGACCCTACACCCTAAACCGTTTTGGGCTCATGGAAACAGCACAGCTGCAAGAACCACATCCCGACGCCGTGCCTGCTGCAGCTCTGCTTCTTCTCGTTTGGACTGGGCCTGCGACAAAAGCCGGAGCCGCAGTTCTAGTCGGCATGTTGCTAGGGAATAGGATTGGGGGGACCCTTGGGGATATAGATTTGTTAATAAGGTCCCTGTTGAAGAGAGCCAGCAAGGGTACTTCTGGCGCTCCTCTTGCCGGTTCTAAAATGGAAAACCGAGATGCTGACCAGGGGACCCCTGTCTGACTGATCACGGAGCGCAGAAGTCGTGTTTTGGGCTGTTTGTTCGTGGCACCCGTTAAACACTTTCTGGGCCTTCAGGCCCAAACATGCAACTCTCTCGGCAGACTGGCTGAGATTACTGTCGGGACTACCATCGGGACTGAAAGCCCTTCCTCAGGGGGTTCGAGCCCGAACTCTTTGTCGACACATGTACAGGTCCTGCTGCGCTTGTACCGCAAGCTCACGGCCACCCCGCTCCCTTCCATCCATGATGACAGATCGCCTTCTTGCGAGTTCCTACAAGTCTCCCAACACTGGGAATCCCATAAGCTTAAAAAACAACACCCAGACTTCGAAGCAGAAACCCCTTTACTCTGACTCCAACCTAGGATACCAATATCCTAGGTTGAGGTCGATTCTGCCACAACGCAAAATGAGCTCTCCATCATGAGGGGTTTCCGAAAATCGGGGTACCCTTTTTGGGGTTCCTTTACCAGAAAGTATCTTGGGGTATATAACGGGTACTTGGGCTTCCTTCAAAAGGATTACACAGTACCCCTGTTTCAAAGTCCCCACATCTCCTCGAACCGCAGCTGCCCTCTCGGCCTCCAGGGACTCCAGCGCTGAGAAGTCGCCATCGCTGACTGGCACTCGACAGCCATGCTGACCACATGCATCCAAGCACAGAGTGTATGCAGAAATATGGAATGGAGTCTTTGGATGTCTTTGGGCAGGAAGTCCAACTTATCCACAGCTGTGCCTTCTGCACCTAAAAGCAGCTGATCATCGTAGATTTGCCACTCGTCTGCTCTAAGCATGCCCTCGTGCAGGCTGTTCTTCCTCGGCAAGCTCTAAACGCTCATATTACCGCCAAGGATTCGGCATCTATTAGGAGATGTGCACCAAAGGCTGCCGCGGCTCACTACTGCCTTGGCCAAAGATGCAACATCGTCTCCAGCACCAGCCACAGCCCGACAGATCTCTGCATTATGCTTCGACATCCTCGATGAAACTGCATAAGAACATCAAGTGGAAACTCACCTGAATGTCTTGTAGGTTGCTGAACACTTCGAGATTCTGTGCAACAGGCATACTCCGAGCCTTAGGGCTGCAATGCCGGCAGGCCGCATTGCTTTGAAAGTAAGGAAGTCCTCCGCCGCCAGCAGCTGTTCGGCCAGAGCACGGTGCCTATGCACGTAGACATACAAAGACAACATGTGGCAACAACCCGCGACCACAAAATGTCACGATGCATCGATCAAGTCACAAGGAACGGTGCTTCGTGAGGCCAGTCTGGCAGAAGCGATCGAACTGCTCTTCGGTTACCGACACCTGAGAACGAGCGGTGTGTTCAGCAAGCTACCTCAGAAACAGGAGCCGGTTGCAAAGCTCGACGTGCCTCCATGAGGTGACAGAGAAGCAGATTGGACACCAACTCCCTGAAACTGTTGTGGCATGTGGTGTGCTCCAACATGGACTCCTGCACCCCAGGCGCCAGGCTTGTGAAAAAAATCTGAAAAGATCTCGATTGGGCATTTCACTGCCTCCGCCTCATCGAAGAGGATGGCATTCTTGTCGATAAACTCCTTCCCCCAAACCCTAAACCCTAAACTCTAAACCCCAAACCCTAAACTCCTAAACCCTAAACCCTAAACCCTACTTACCGCTCTGTCGATCCACACCCGCACGACCCTCCTGGATGGGAACTACCCAGGTCTGTGACTTCAAGACGGAGATGACATAGTCCTCCACTCAGATCTTCACATGCAACTTGCGAAGGCCCCCGCGAACGGTGCTATATGCATTGTGGCATTCTAACTGGAAGTTCCAGCATATGGCTGCAAGGGCACGGTTGGGTGATTACGCTGTCGAGATCTACTAGTTCGTTTCTGTCGCCAGCAGTAGTCTACCCAGTGTGGTCCCCTGGCCCATGCTTCCTAAACCCTAAACCCTAAACCCTAAACCGTTCAACACAGTGCTGCCCAGACTCGGAGAGCCAATCCATGTCATCCGTTGGTTCTGCCATCTTGGCCTCCAGCTTGGTTGTACAAACTTACTCATCCTCATAATCATAATAATAATAGTCATAATAATAATCATAATCATAATAATTTTCATAATACCAATAAAAATACTAACAATAACAACTGATAATAATAAGAATAATAATAATATGTCAAAGATAGGGTCAATCTAAAGCTAACTGAAAAGCTGGGACACTCCGCACTTTTCCTGGGTTCACTGCGGTGTGTGTCCTTGTTCGAGCCTGTCGTCGACAAGACGTTCCGAGGCTCTGGTGTGCATTCCACATGCACCTGGTGCACAGCTTCCTGTACTGCGTAGATGTTTAACACCCCGCCTTCGAAGCTGGTGAAAGTCGTTCCTAGACTAAGCTAGCTTCGACTGTCGTGGGCTAAGTTGATTACTCGGATCATTTTCCTTTAGTCAACAAAAGCGAAAACAAAGTTCCTGAAAGTTGCCAGTAGAACGGATACTCCATCCTTTGTTCTGGCTTCCTCCTCATCTTGAAACTCACTCCTCACTGCTCGACTGAGCGCTGCTGATCCTTCCTCTGCTTTTCCTTGCTTCTCTTCTCCTTCGCTTCTTTTCCTTCCTTCATCCTTTCACTTGCTTCTCCTGTTCCTTGCAGATCCTTCCTCCATCTTCATCTTCGCTGTCCTTGATCCACAAGTTCTGGTTCACGTCATAGTAGAGCCATGCCTTTGTGGCCTGCACCCATTTCCACTGGAAATCTAATCCTTCGTAAGGAAAGATCGCATACAGTTCCTGAGCTCCTTCACTTCCTCCAACTCTGAATTGGCTCCGATCCTGTGGGCCAATCGGCTTGTCCTTCTTCTTTCCTTCTCCTGTGCTTCCTTCACTGTCTGTGGCCTTCTTGAGCTCTTCCTGAAGCGAGATGATCTTCCTTTTGTCTGAGGCTTGCTGTTCCTTCATTCCTCTGACTAACTCACGAAGCTGGGCCATCTCAATCCTCAAACTTTCATTTTCATCTTCTTTTCCTTCTCTTGTTGCTGCCTCTTGCTTCTTCCTCTCTGCTTCTGCTGCTGCTGCCTCTCGTCTCTTCCTTTCTGCTTCTGCCGCTGCTGCTGCCTCTCGTCTCTTCCTGTCCTTTTCCTCTGCTGCTGCTGCTGCCTGCCTTTTCTTCCTTTCCTCTTCTGCTGCGGCTTCCTGCTTCTTCCTCTCTTCTTCTGCTGCGGCTTCCTGCTTCTTCCTCTCTTCTTCTGCTGCGGCTTCCTGCTTCTTTCTCTCCTCTGCTGCTGCTGCTTCCTGCTTCTTCCTTCCTTCTTCTGCTGCTGCTTCCTGCTTCTTCCTTTCCTCTTCTGCTGTGGCTTCCTGTCTTTTCCTTTCCTCTTCTGCTTCTTCCTTCTCCTTCCTGGCTTTCTCCTCGGCTTTCCTCTTCCTGATTCTTTCTCGCCTTTCGCGTTCCTTCTGCCACTTCTTCTCATCCTTCTCTACCTGCTTCTCTGCTTCCTGCGTGGCTCCTTCTTCCTGTGGTGTAACTCCTGCTGCTTCAGCGACTGCTGCGCTTGCCTGCTTGTCAGAGCTGCTGCTCGCTCCTGTGGCTGTGTTCTTGGTGCTTCCTTTTCCTGGCCCTTTTCCTTTTCCTTCCTTTCCTTTCTGGTACTTGTAGACGTAGTCGACGCCAACTTCGACCTTCTCGCCCGTGATCCTGTGCTGCTTGTACACCTTGCCATTCTCCACGTAGATCTTGTACTCGGTGTCGTCGTAGGGGTACGCAAAACCTCTTTCCTTTTCCTTCTCCTCTTCTTCTCTTTTCCTCAGCTCCTCATTCACTTTCCTGATCTTCTCTTTCCTCTCCTTTTCCTTCCTCTTTTCCTCCTGCGTTGATGTAGTAGACGCCGACGAAGATCTTGGTGTGGTAGAACTTGATCCTTCTTCTTCTTCCTCTTCTTCATTTCCTGCTTCTCCTCGACCATGTCCTGTTCTTCGTAGCTCTCTTTCCATCTTCGCTCCTCTTTCTTCTTCTTGAAGCTTCCACCAAATCATTCCTTTGATCTCTTCTTCTTCCTTCTCGTACTCGGCGATCTTGGTCTCCAAAGCTTCTATCCTTTCCTTCAAGTGCCTGAGCAACTCCACATCTCGCAGGTGTTGGTCCTCAATCTGTTCCTTGAGGCTTGCCTGTTCACGGCGCTGTTCTCTGAGCAACACGTTCGTAGTTCCTTGGGCTTCTTTCAACTGGTTCAACTGAGAGGTGAGCTCTCTGAACCAACGTTCCTTCTCGGAGGCACTCGGTTCCATAGCTGCTACTTCCTTCTCTACAGCTACTGTCTCTTCCTTTTCAGGGTTCCTAAAACAGAGGTCCTTCACTCGAGGCATCGAGCTGCAAATGTTTCCTACCTCAAGCTGTTCCTGCAATCCTAATGCACATGCACTCGTGTCACTGCACACGCCGACATGTTCCTGCACAGTTCCTACACATGTACTGCACAACTGCAAAAGACATGTTCCTGAAGCTACTTCAACCTTTGAGCAACCTTCCAAACTTCCTGAAAGCAAAGAGAACAACAAAGCTGCAAATGCGAAGTTTCCTTTGGACTTGATTCTCTTGACTGTGGCCTTAGCTTGTTCCTGTTGTCGATGTTCTTGAAGCTCTTCAATTCCTACTGGTTGGTTTTGTTCGTCCTTGAAGCCTAGCCAATGCATCAACAACTTAATGCGTTTTCCTGAAAGCGGCTTAGTTCCTATATCAGCAGTGTTATCCCTGGTACCTACCGGGTGGACACTAAGAATTCCTTGTTTGTGGAGGTCCTGGAGAAAGAGGGTCCTAATCTGCAAATGTTTCACTCTTCCTACTCCCTGCCTGGTAATGATACCACGAGCAGCGGAAGAATCTAGATGCAAATGCACTACGCACTTCCTACAGGTGAGGAATTCTATCGCTTCCTTGAGCAACAAAGAGTCACTAGCTGAACTAGCTGCGGCGTAATATTCTGCCTCTCCAGAAGACAGAGAAATACTCCTTTGGGTCCTAGAGAATGCATAGATCAGTTGAGAATCCAGAAACACAGTTCCTGAACTTGTGTTGCGACGACTGTCTTTCTGTCCTGCCCAATCTGAATCGGAGTATACCTCCAACAAGTGATGTTCCTTGGGTTTGACTTGGGAAAAGTCATAGGTTCCGTTGCGAATGCTCTCGTTGAGGTTTGACATTCCTCGAGGTATTTTCCTATACGTGCAATGGTAACCATCTGTCTTTGTCATGTACTGCACAACATGAATCAACTGCTTCTTAGCTGCAAATGTTGGCAATGACATCTTGGACGCTAAACCTCTTACTGCGAACTGCAGATCCGGCCTGTCCTGACAAACATATAGGAGGATTCCTACACACTTCCTAAACGAAGCTGCTTGTTCCTGGTCAAGAGGGTTTGTGTTGTCTACTGCCTGGCTCTCCTGTGTGCACGGCGTTGGCTTTGATGCCTTTCCTGTCAACTTGAGTTCTTCACGAAGTTTTCCTAGATACTTTGGGTCACTGTGAATGTGAAGTTCATGATTGTGATACGAGTACTTTCTTTTGAGAAATCTCACCGTCTGAAGCGACTCGCCAATAGCAAGTTCCTGCGCGGTAAGAAATGGTCCCTCAATCTTCAGCTCGTACACTCGTCCTAGGCTCTTTAGTACAGGGTCGACATGATGACTCTTTCCTGCTGCTTGAATGTCATCAACATGAACCACAAGAATGCTTTTCCTTGAGTCTCGAAACAGAGTTGGACAAGCTACACTTCTCTCAAAGTCTTGTTCCTTAAGCGAATCACTAAAATGATCCGACCAAAGC